GCCAATTCATGAAAAGCTTTCATGCATGCAACAGCTTTACAAAATATATATATATATAAAAAAAATAATCAAAAAGAAAACCAACATACTTCATGCTAATATCACAACTACAACTAAAAATTCTTTGTCCTCTCTACCAGCCATATAAAGTAGGCATAAAATAAGACTACAAAATATTATCTCTACATTATCTTCAAGTCACCAGGGCCTGATGAAATGCATCCTAGAATACACAAGGAACTGATAGAGGAGGTATCTAAACTTTTAGCTATCATCTTTGAAAAGTCAGAAAACTGGAAAAGGGCAAATACAGCCTGCCTCTCCTCGAGTTATGAAAGAGTTATGGACCAAACACTTGGCCGTAACTCGAAATGCTTATAAGTTGGAACCCACTGAGTTACATTACGACCGCGTGTTCATAAGCGCAGGTCGCGTTCGTAACTTGGGGACTGCCTTTACTACCGCTCAATGGGAGTTTTGGTCGTAAATGCAAACTGTCATAAATCGACCGTTTGCAACTCGGGAACCAGCTGTATACTGCCCACCTATTAAAAAGGGAAATCAGAACAACCCAGGAAACTACAGACCAGTCAGTTTAATTTCTGTGCCATGGAAGATAATGAAGCAAGTTATTAAGGAATTAAGATGATAGGTAAAAGCCAGCATGGATTTGTAAAGAACAAATTGGGTCAAACTAATCTGAAAGCTTTCTTTGATAGGATATCAAGCCTTGTGAATCAGGGAAAAGCAGTAGATGTAGTATACCTAGACTTTAGTAAAGCATTTGATATGGTCTCACATTACCTTCTTATCAATAAACTAGGGAAATACAGCCTAGATGGGGCTACTATAAGGTGCTGCATAACCATTCTCAGAGACTAGTTATTAACAGTTCACAATCATGCTGGAAAGGCATAACAAGTGGAGTTCTGCAGGGGTCTCTTTTGGAACCATTTGTGTTCATATCTTCATCAACAATTTAGATGATGGCGTAGAGAGAACAATTATTAAGATTGCAGATGACACCAAGCTGGGAGGGATTTCAGGTGCTTTGAATGATAGGATCATGATTCAAAATGATCTAGACAAACTAGCGAAATGGTCTGAGGTAAATAGGATGAAGTTTAATAAGGACAAATGCAAAGTACTCCACTTAGGAAGGAACAATCAGTTTTACACATACAGAATGGGAAGTGACTATCTTTGAAGGGGTACTGCAGGAAGGGATCTAGGGGTTATAGTGGACTACAAGCTAAATAGGAGTCAGTAGTGTGACACTGTTGCAGAAAAAGCAAACATGATTCTGGGATGCGTTAACAGGAGTGTTGTGAGCAAAACACAAGAAGTCATTCTTCTGCGCTACTCTGAGCTAATTAGGCCTCAGTTGGAGTACTGTGTCCTGTTCTGGGCACAACATTTCAAGAAAGATGTGGAAAATTGGAGAATGTCCAGAAAAAGAGCAACAAAAACGATTAAAGGTCTAGAAAACATGAGCTATGAGGGAAGACTGAAAGAACTGGGCTTGTTTAATTTAGAAAAAAGAAGACTGAGAGGGGACATAATAGCAGTTTTCAGGTATCTAAAAGGATGTTACAAGGAAGAGGGAGAAAAATTGTTCTTTGCCTCTAATGATAGGACAAGAAGCAATGGGCTTAAACTGAAGCAAGGGAGGTTTAGATTGGACATTAGGAAAAACTTCCTAACTGTCAGGGTGGTTAAACACTGGAATAATTTGCCTAGGGAGGTTGTGGAATCTCCATCTCTGGAGATATTTAAGAGCAGGTTGGATAGACATCTATTAGGGATGATCTAGACCAGGGGGTCAATAACACTTCCAAAGTGTCATGCCAAGATTTAACCCTCCTGCCCTGGGCCACGCCACTCCCCCAGGAAGGCCGGGAAAGGGCTCTCTCCACCACATGTCATGCTTAGTCTTCTGCCCTGGAATCTGCTCTGGCTTTTCCTGTGGGGAGGGGAGGAGCAGCACACGCATGCTTCCCCAGCAGCAGGATGAGACACAGAGCCTCACTGCTTCCCACTCCGCCCAAGGAAGCCGGTGCTGGCTCCAATCTTGTGGAGGGCATGATGCTGGATGGCCAACACTGTGTGGGGTCAGGGTGACTTGGCTGCAGGGGGTTCAGGGAAATGGGCAAGGCAGGGGCATGACCCTGGAATGTCCAGCCCTGCTGGGGCGGGGTCCCAGTCCATGGAGTCCTCGTCTTCCTGCCAGGAACCCTTGGACCAACCCTCTGAGCCTAATCACATCACACCCCAATCTCCAAATTACCTCCTCACCCCGGTACCTGGTTCCCTGACCCCCCCCATTCTCCCACTCCTTCCCCAAGGGGGTCCCAGCTCTGTGCAGGGTCCCTATGCCACCCGGTGGAAGCAGGCTGGGAGCAGAGATGACTCTCAGGGGCAGACTCCTCCATCCCATTGCTTCCTTCTTGCCCAGCCCCCCAACTGCCTCATCAAATCCCAGCCCTTGACACCCTAGATCCGCCCCGTCCATCTCATGCAGGGGCGGCTGGGTGGGGATGGTCCCAGCCAGGCCTCAGGGACAGGGCAGCCTGTACCCACCCCACCCTCTGAACCTGCGGGTCCCAGGCGGCGCAGCAGCAGCTTTGCACAGGGTTCCTGCGCTGCCCAGTGGAAGCGGCTGGGGAGCCAGGGGAGCTCGAAAGCAGACTCCCCCACCCCATTACTTCCTTCTCCCCTAGCTTCCCTGCATGCTGGTGGAGGCGGGGCGGGCAGAGTAGCAACGGTGCACTTGTGGGGATGGGAGCCCTCAATCCTGTGGGTGGGGGAAGGGGGTTGTCCTGGCTCAGCATCAGGTCCCTGTGCCACCTAGTGGAGGCAGGTGAGGCGCCAGGCCGGCTCTCAGGGATACCAGGGATGGATGCAAGTCAGGGCTTTCTTCACTTCCCCCCACCTCCCATGTACCTGAGAGCTGGAGCTGATGCTCCAAGCCTCAGGGCTGTGTGGGCTCAAAGGGGTGGGGGACTGAGCTCCCACAACGGACTCCATGTACCACTGAAAATTGGCTCACATGCCAATGATAGCACGCATGTTGTAGGTTGCCAATCCCTGAACCTAGATGGTGCTTGGTCCTGTCATGAGGACAGGGGACTGAATTTGATTATCTCTTGAGGTCCCTTCCAGTTCTGTGTTCTATGATGCTAGTGGCTTTAGAGATTTTTATTTTGTGCATCTCCTGCCTAATAGCATACTTATCTAATATCATGTGTTTCTACATGAGGGTTGCATATCAGGGCTCTGTACTGGAAGAGTATTCAGACCCCAGGAGAGGGAGGGAGTGCTTTGCATAACTGTAGCAGATGCAGGTACTGGGGCTAAGGACTCCTAAGGGATATGTTTCTAGCCCTCCTCATCAGAGGAAAGGTCACCAAGACAAAGACCTTTCAAGTACAGTGATGCAAGAGGAAAAAAAAAGTGAGGGGCTCCTTATGTAGGATAGAAAACAGATTTTGCAGCTCTCTCACTTTCTAGCACAGGCAAAAGTTATCTTACATCTGGGATTGGGATCGATGGGCAGCAAAAAATGGACAGAATTGCACTGAAATCAACAGGAAAATGATTGTGCAGCTATTCAATGCAACGAACTAAAACAAGCTTCCCTCTCGACTGCAGGAAACAGCCCAGAATGCTGCTGCTTCTAATGAGGAAACCTTTTTTGTGGCAAGTAGTTCCAACACAACCCCCAGTTACATTACCACCAAGCGTACAGGAAGTGAAGTGGTAAAGACAGAAAAGAGTACACAAGTGCACCCTAATCTACCACTCCTTCCCCATGCCATTGGGAAAGTCCTATCATTTGAAGAGCTCTGCTTCATTTTACATATCATGTAAGCCTCACTGTAGCAAGACTGAGTTCTATTAGCAGAATATATAGCTAATTTGGAAGTTTCCTGTTTTTAAAACCAATTGTTTACATTTTTATAGCATCTTCATCCCAAGAGGTCCCAATGAGGATGATCCACTCTCTCAGGGATGAGAGAAAGTAACAGAAAATGAGTTAAATCTCAGCTGGAAGGAAAAGGTGGTGACATGTTAGGGCTGAACTTGGTTGTCTCCTAGAATTTACCAGGCCAGCAACCAAGACACTATGGTCGTCTATAAAAAGTGAATTCCTAAACTGGAGTTCTGCAATTGGCAGTCAGAAAACAGGGAGCTCCTTATGGAAAGGTGACTGAACCCCCAACTTACTGAAAAGCAAGGAATCTGGATGAAAGACACCAGAAATTTTCTAATGTATCATGTATATAAGGCAAAATGCAGGACAATGTAGCACTTTAAAGACTAACAAGATGGTTTATTAGATGATGAGCTTTCGTGGGCCAGACCCACTTCCTCAGATCTTGTTAGTCTTTAAAATGCTACATTGTCCTGCATTTTGCTTCAACTACCCCAGACTAACACGGCTACAATTCTATCACTATTCTGTATATAAGGCAGTTATGCCTCTCTCTAGTTTTATGAGATACTGATTAGTAAATATCCATATCCATTTTGGAGAGGTAATTTTTTTCCTTTGGCAGACATTTATCATTACAATCCCAAAGTGCTGCACTTGCTCTCTACCTGCTGAAAGGCAGCAAACTTCTGAAGTGGGAAGGTTGCATGAAGCATAAGAAAAGAGAAGAGAGAGGGGACACCTATTGGCCATAGCAGTATTGCTGTCCCTCCCCAAGATCTCACTATGCTTCCTCTCTTTCCAACTTCAAGATCGTGTTGTGGAATAAGGTGGCAGTGCCAAGCCACCTACAGACCCTATGTGCCTCTTCTGTTCCCAGCATCAGGTCCCCTGCATGACAGCTCCTAGCTCTGGATCCCTTTGTGCAACTCCCCTACAGTTCTCCAGCAAGATCTCTCTCAGTAGCAGGCACAAATGCCTCTAGCCAGCTTTCATTTCTTCTCTTCCCCTTCTTCTCCCAGCCATGATCTTCATGACTTCCCATTCCTGCCTCCTAATGTGGTACCTGTTGGCAGTGCTTGTATTGCTGCTCCCGCTGCTGTGTTTCCTCACCCGGCTCAGCTTCCTCATCGGCTTTGGATCCTGTAGTCCAGGGTTTGGTAACAAGGGGAAGGTTGAGGCATAGCCATGTTCACACTCTGCACAAAAAAAATCAACAGATGGCAGAAACCAGTGAAGAAAGGTTCATGTACTTAAATCCAATGATCGAAGAAAGGAGGGCCTGAGGCCTGAAATAACCTAGCCGGGGGGAGGGGAAGGGGAGGCACATGACCAGCAACAACCAGGATGCAGGCAGAACTCTGTGACAGAAAGGGGTTAGAGCTATGTCATTATGAGAGATGGGGACTATTAACACAGTGCCAGAGGAGGAGGTTTAAACTCCTATGAACCTGGGAAAGAGGACTCCAGATACTTGAAAACCCTGAAAGCTGATACAGTGGCCAAGATAACTTGGTTCCCTGGTCCACAGTCAAGCTGTTTGACCTGGACATTGTGTAATACAGGCATTTCCCATTGTGTTTTCAGGCTCTCTGCAACCCCAGGCCCTCCTAATCTCTCTGTGGGGAACTCCCTCCCCAATCCCCAAGAATCTTTCATGCCAATCTCCACCCCTTCCATGAAGGACTCTCCCCACCAATCATCCCCTCTGCAGAGCTCTCCAATTCCAACCCCCACATCCACTGAAGCCCTCACTCCTATCCACAGCTCTTCAATCTCCCTCTCTAGGGATCTTTCGCCTCCCACCTCCAGAGCGCTTCCCCGCTTTACATGGGGCTCTTTCACCATAACCTCCCCTCCCCGTTCTCACCCCAATCCCACTACCTCTATGGGGAGCTATTATCCCAGCACCCTGCTATTACCTCTCTCCCTTCGCTCCAGATACTCTGCTGCCTCCAGCAGCCGTTGGATGTTGATCATCTGTATCTGCTCCATGGCCCCCAGGTAGATGGCGCAGGTGGGGGGGGGGGGGGGGGGGGGGGGGTGGGGAGGAATTTGTAGCCTCTGAACTACCACAATCCAAACTGCCACCTGAGGCAGAAGGAGCTGCCACGGGGAGCTGAGAGAGAGCTCCTTCTCTCCCCAAGATCTGGTCTCTTCACATCAATGACAGCGAGCCCAGGATATGTCTCCTCCAGGAAGGAAAGGATGGGGGAGCCACACAGTATTGGGGAGCACTCCCGTCTCCTGATGCCTTGTAGCCTCTGAACTACCACAATCCAAACTGCCACCTGAGGCAGAAGGAGCTGCCACGGGGAGCTGAGAGAGAGCTCCTTCTCTCCCCAAGATCTGGTCTCTTCACATCAATGACAGCGAGCCCAGGATATGTCTCCTCCAGGAAGGAAAGGATGGGGGAGCCACACAGTATTGGGGAGCACTCCCGTCTCCTGATGCCTCCAAGACCCAACTAGGGCAGGAATAATGTATAACTGAGAATCAAATGGCTGAATAACCCTGGTCCTACCAACACTACCTTCACGTTGCCTGCCTTCTCCCCCACACTACCCCCGTTTCTTTGCCCTGCTCCTGACCCACGCCAAGCCCTGCTTCTGCACCACACCCTGTCCGTGCCTAGCCCTGCTGCTCCAAACTCTGCCCCCTTCCCAGCCCTGCTTCTGCCCCACACCCTGCTCCGCTCCTGCCCCACACCCTGCTCCGCTCCTGCCCCACACCCTGCTCCGCTCCTCCTCCATTCCAGCCCTTTCCCGCTCCCGCTCCTGCCCCCTCC